CAAACGCCCCACTAGTAATTTCTTCCGCCACGGCTCTTGGAAAATCAGGACTGGTTCACTCGATTGCAATTTTGTGTTAATCGAGCACTGATGCACAGTCAGCTGACTGACCTTCAGTGTCCATACACCCGCGTCAAACACCTCCTCCAGAACGCACCCGCTATGCCGTTGGGGAGGACTAATTTCGACAACTTTTTGCCTGTAGAGATTCAGCTAGTTGTTATTGTAAAGACACCACTGGTGGAAGAAATGTCACATTTTCTTTTTTTGTCATTTCACCTCTAGACTGACTGCTAGCCCCTCCGAAACAAGCGCGGACTTGGCTTGCATTCTTGGGCCCCCGATACCTGGACGGCTGAGGTATGTCCTGCGCTCGCATACCTGAATGTTCTAATCTGCCCGTGTGGCTTACCCCGCAAACTCTATTTAATACCCGTCCGTTTACGGGAGTTGGAAGGTCCCTTGTTAGGTTTCTTTATACTTCTTCAGTAGTTAGACCTCTTGGCAAGAGAGAATAACCGTTTTCCCGAGCCTTTACCGGCATGAGGTCCTTTAGTTTGTTTCGCACCGAATGGATGCTGTGCGCTCAGGTAGCGTTCGGGTTTTCGTCCTTGTTCAGGCTGTCCCACGACTATAAGACCACTTGAGTAAAGGAGAAGGCTGGGCGAGCACCGGAACAGTTTGCTCATTGTTGTTCTGAGCTTTCTTCTTCAGAATTTACAGCAACAACAGAATAGGCGACAATTATATGGAATGGAAGCCAATCAACTATCAGTTACGCACGTCCGGAGTTGACTGCACAGGGCTCTGTACGCTAGCGCCAAATCGATACATCGATTGATTGAGTTTCCATTCGTGGGCCAGGCTTCAATAAATTATCCACTCGTCCTGCTTCCGGCGCGAGCGAGTATCCTGACGGCTGCGAAGTTGAACTCATGGCCTGTTTTGCAGGTGTGAGCAGCTACTTGCGGTAATTCGTCGCACAACAGGCTTATGTTCATGTTGGCGCGAGCCGGGCATGCGCTCAACTTGACCTGTGTAATTACATGGATAGCTTATGCACTGGATGCGATAAACTACGTGCGTCAGTAATAGTTGATTATTTCGCACCCCATATGATTGTCGCTTATTTTGTTGCTGTTTGTATCTCCGACGATGAACTCTTGTACGAGTTCGAGCATTCAGAGCAATAAACAAACTGTTCCGCTACTCGACCAGCCTTTACTCATGCAAACACTTAAAACTCGAAACTTCACATTTATTAATAAAGCCGCCTGTTTTTGGACAGCGTTTAGAAAAATCAAGGATTTGACACAAAATGGCTTAATATACTGTCCTTTTATAAGAACTAATAGGGAATGACTGTTCCACAGTTATATGGTCGCTAGAATTGTGGTCTGCCTGCTTGCATTAGAAATGATATATAACCTCCCTTTCAGTTTCTGAGGTTCAATGAAACATTTATTCACGCTATTAGTCAAACTGTCAAATTCTGCTTCACTCAAGGCGTTCCACGATTGGCACAAGTACCTCCACACACACTTCTCAGCATTGTCAACCACAGAGAAGGACGGACTGGACAGATACACTGTACATGCGAATATTTTTAACGTTGGAGGTGTTGTATCGAATCCATGGGCGCTTCCTGAAGTTTTAAGAAAATCCGGCGAGCAGCATGCATTCGTAAGACAATGTCCTCCTTACACTGCTCATTCGGCAGCAGTCTCGCTCCGAGGTATTTGCAACTGTCTACTTTGCTGACAGAAGCGAACAGCCGAGTTTCAGGAGGCAGTTGAGGAAAAGATTATGCGATCGCCTGGCTATGGTGT